CTGCTAGTATACAGCACTGTCAGTATACAGGATTGTCGTGATAAAGGACTGTCCGTATACAGGACTGTCAGTATAAGGACTTTTAGTATAGAGGACTGTCAGTATACATGACTGCCAATATAGAGGAATGTCAGTATAGAGGAATGTCAGTATACAGGACTGTCAGGGCTGTCAGTATACAGGGCTGTCAAGACTGTCAGTATGCAGAAATGTCAGTATACAGGACTGTCAGTAAAGAGGAATGTCAGAATACAGGACTGGACTGTCAGTATACAGGGCTGTCACTATACAGGATTGTCAGTATAGAGGACTGTCAGGATTGTCAGTATAGAGGACTGTAAGGATTGTCAGTATAGAGGACTGTCAGTATACAGTACTGTCATTACCTAGGACTGTCAGTATACCGGAATGTTAGTATACAGGACTCTCAGTATATAGGACCGTCAGTATACAGGACTGTCAGTATACAGGACTGTCAGTATACAGGACTGTCACTATACAGGATTGTCAGTATAGAGAACTGTCAGGATTGTCAGTATAGAGGACTGTCAGGACTGTCAGAATAGAGAACTGTCAGTATACAGAACTGTCATTACATAGGACTGTCAGTATACCGGAATGTTAATATACAGGACTCTCAGTATATAGGACCGTCAGTATATAGGGCTGTCAGTATACAGGACTGTCAGTATAGAGGATTGGCAGTATTGGGACCACAGTATTTTCAGTATACAGGACTGTCAGTATAGAGGACTGTCAAAAAACAGGACTGGACTGTCAGTATACTAGACTGTCAGTATACAGGAGTGCCAGGGCTGTCAGTATACAGAACTGTCATTACATAGGACTGTCAGTATACCGGAATGTTAGTATACAGGACTCTCAGTATATAGGACCGTCAGTATATAGGGCTGTCAGTATACAGGACTGTCAGTATAGAGGATTGGCAGTATAGGGACCACAGTATTTTCAGTATACAGGACTGTCAGCATAGAGGACTGTCAAAAAACAGGACTGGACTGTCAGTATACAAGACTGTCAGTATACAGGAGTGCCAGGGCTGTCAGTATACAGGAATGGACTGTCAGCATACTGGACTGTCAATATAGAGGACTGGAATGTCAGTATGCAGGTCTGTTAGTATACAGGACTGTCAGTATAGAGGTCTGTCAGTATACAGGTCTGTCAGTATACAGAATTGTCGGGGAAAAGTACTTTAAGTATACAGGACTGTCATTTTACAGGACTGTCAGTATAGAGGTCTGTCAATATACAGAACTGTCAGGGCTGTCAGTATACCGGGTTGTCAAAACTGTCAGTATGCAGAAATGTCAGTATAGAGGACTGTCAGAATACAGAACTGGACTGTCACTATACAGGTCTGTCAGTAAACAGGACTGTCAAGACTGTCAGTATATGGGAATTTCAGTATACAGGACTGTCAGTATACAGGACTGTCAGTATAGATGACTGTCAGAGTACAGGATTGTCAGTATAGAGGACTTTCAGGACTGTCAGTTAACTGGTTTGTCAGAAAACTGGATCGTCGGGAGACTGAACTGTCAGTGTTTAGGAAATAAACATAAATTTTGTTGACTGAAGTATTCAGAGTCAGTAAGAGTTGCGACTCTTTCATTTCTTGTTTTACTTTGAAATCGCAGTGTTCAGAGAAGACTAATGTTTAAATCAAAGGATGTTGCAGGTATATAATTTAATCATTTTAATCAAATATTAGCCAGACATTTTTATAAACATTTCAAAAGGCCCGTTGCAGGCAAAAAAAGAAATAACCTATAGTAGTGAATTTAGTAAAAAAAATAACTGTAAATATTCAGATTAAATTGGAAAATTATCGTATCATATCTAACAATACATAAACCTGGAAGTAGTACTCTAATTTGTATTGGAAAAAATTGCATTTCAGTTAGACTGAAGAATTTTATTAAGTGTATTTTACGTGTGAAGGAAATAAAGATAAAACCTCGATTTCGATTAGTTTTGATAAATCCTGATTTTCACAAACGTCATTTATTATCCCAAGATTTCTTACTGTGTAAGGTTGACTAATTTACATTTTTCTTAAAAGCCAAACTTGGGTGTCTTAACATGTTCAGTTTATGTGAAGTATCTATTTACAATATCATGATATAAATTGTTACGAACAAAAAGGTATTCTGATATATGTATTTCGCCTTCTGTGCGATCCGCTCTGTGGTTAGTCCTGCTGAAAAATCGTAGAGTTAATTAGATGCAAAGGGGGCGGGACATTTCTCGGCCTAACAAGCGATAAATTAACCGCCCCACGATCTGATGAATAATCAATGTGAGTGAAGGCTAAGGACATCCAGCGTGGTCTATTTCACGTCAACGGTGGGGGGATTGTAAAGATGAAAACATTCGTCACTTACCAGCAGGATAATACACGCACAATCAGAGACAAACGTAAATTAGTGAATTAAAAAACAGGAGTTTGAAAAATAGATTTAGACCCACTCATAAGACGTTGAAACGATTCGAGATTGTGCGAAGATTCGTCATGGTGAAAAAAAAATCAATATTTTGAAATATATTCAACGGTGTAAATTAACATGTCACAAATTTACTTTTGAAATTATACAATGTATCTTTTCTACATTTCAAGAAATTGTTTTTATATTTTATGTATACGTTTCCAAAGCACAATTATTCTATCGAATTGGTAACAATGCTTTGAACGTATACAATTTCCTTATTCTATGTGACAACATAAATCTAAATATCATTATTAATTCTAAGGCAAAATTAAAAATAATATTTTAAGTAAACATATATATATATTTCAGAAGGATGCTTAATATCATAATCATAGTTTAATTAATAATTCGATTCAAAATTTTCATGGAAAGGTGGTATCAATTTTAATGTGTTTTGATCAGTCTATTGTTTGTTTCAGCAAAGCGTGTCATCAAGATTAATTTATTTTCTGGGTTTTTTTTTAAATTTATTCTGTAAATAACTACTAAGATTAATATAAAATTTAATTAATTACATACATGGTTCCTACAGACTTACATAACCAATAATTCACCACCAAACACACTGACTGATTTATTTGAAAAGAAATTTTAAAATGTAATCCAAACGAATGAGTGAAAAGTGGACCGCAGATACTGAAAAATCTAGATATCCATTTACTCCATAATAAATCCCAACGGGGGTAAATAATTTCCTTATTTTTTTTCTACAATTGAGATTTCCACGACTTTACACGTTTAAAAAAAGGCCGAAATCTGATCCGTTTTTTAACAATTGAAACAACTTGCTTTGGTAACATGAGCAACCCTTGATAGAGAGCCCTCGACACCTATTTTGTGATCTGTACGGGGGGATCAAGGGGTAATTTTCTCCCTGTGGCGTGTTTGTGAACGGTGATGTGTCGGGTCCAAATTTCCCTATGAGGTGACAGTAGTGTTGTCATGGAAACACTAAGACACAAATAATTTGATACCAACACGGCCGGATGCTATTTTAAGCTTAATCCCTTTCCTCATGTATGTGTCAGAGGAAATTGCTATTTTGTTCCTTATATTTATGTGATATATTGATCAATTTTATAGAAATCTGTACAAGTATTTTCTTTATTATGCACAATTCCTTTGTATATTTACATACGTACAAATTTCTATCATAATCAAAAATGTTAAATGAAAATAATTCAAACGGTCTCACTTTGAAAAAACCTGAAGCTAATTAGTTTTACTTACTCAATCTTCAGGAAAACACAAAAAAGGAAAACTGGACTATTTCAAAAAGTCAATGACCACAAATTTGTGTTTGGTTATTGTCAATGTCTGTTTTCGCACACCGGTTCACATTTTACCGACAGTGTAGATACATATATTATCTACCTGTTTTATCTTTCAACATCCTACCTGGCTGGCGGGCGTTCATTGAGAGATACACAGGGTATCATACTCGCTATAACTTTTCTAGAAATGAAACACAAAATATATACCTTAGCCGATAGCCAAGACGAACAGATAACAAAATTCACGACGGGTTTTTTTTTGCCTCTGTGTAATTTTTCTCACCTTAGAAAGCCGAGATGTATGTACGGAGAGGGTGATACAGAATGACTCTTCCATTGTCATCTCCTTCCGCGTCGCTGAACATTTTGGGTGATAGTGTGTACCAGCAAGGTGACTTTAATTAAAAATATCCCACTTCGTCCTACCTTTCTCCATGTCAAGTTGTATATGGGTTCCAGTATGAGATTTTATAAGGTTGCGTTATAAAAACAGTAACGTTCAAGAAATTCTTTTTTTTTTTAAATATGATTTTAAAGTCGTTTTAAGACCAGCGAAGCTAAACGCTGCACACTGGAATGATATTGCAAATGTTACGATCTCGTGTGTACGTGTGTGTGTATATATATATATTGGGTTAGCTTGTCTATGAGTCCCCCTACTCTTGACAGTTGTATTAAAATAAACCCGAAAGGAGTTATATCTCACACTTGCTAAAATCTTTAACCGTGAAATATACCCGTACTTTAATGTCACAGATCTAAATTCCCATCCAAAAGCGGAAAATCATTTGTGTATATATCAATAGCGAGCTTTGAGAGTCTGTGTTTGTTTTGGAAGAGAGTAATTATCCTACAGCGCACATGGCTTCCAGTTTGTGTGTTATAGAACGGGCTGGGCTAACACCCATCAGCCAATCAGAGGACGGGAACAGCCAAGTCGTTGCGAGTTAATGGTCCATTCATTGTCAATCAAGTGTACGTTAGCCAATCCTGGTCTCGTTAAGACTGGCATCAATCATGAACATGATAATATGCGAGCCGGCTGAAGTAAAGAAATGCTCGGTCTCTTTCGCGTAATGCATAACCCATAAGATAGCTGGCGGAGTCGGGGCGGTTTTGCAAGTCAGATAAGGCGCTTGCTTACAATCGTGTGTGTTGCCTTATGTGAACTACATACCTGATACATGTAAATGTTGAGTATTACCAGCTCCGAATGATAATGGCTACAAGTGCTAGTCTATACCTAGCTTCTAGTACACCACCATCGCTCAACAACACTCATCTCGACCCGACCCACGGGATGCAAGGACTTGTGTCACAACAAACACAGTATCACCATCGGAATACGGATTTACAGGAAATTAAATATATGCCACCACAACATCAAAATGGACATCATTTGAGTCAGCTTCACAACCAGTGGGGCTTACCGTGTGGGGATTCCTGGGGTACCTCCGCGATGCCCCAGCTTCAGGACATGAGGGATATGAGGGACATCAAGCCCAATCCTCAGGTAACGACGGACGGGCATCACGCGACACTACATCACCGGCCGCAGCAACTTCACTCGCCCCACACATGGCATTCACAGCTATCGTCCCCCCATCTCAACCTCTCCAACGGGGGTGGCCAGTTACAACAAATGGGGTACGGGGTCCCCATGAATGGGATGCTGTCACCTCACCAACTTCACCCCGCCATGAGGGACCCCGAGCATGATATGGACCAACATGCCCCTGGGTCCGATGACGATGCACCATCTTCGGATGATTTGGAGGCATTCGCGAAACAGTTTAAACAAAGAAGGATAAAACTTGGATTTACACAAGCGGATGTCGGTCTAGCCCTTGGAACTCTTTACGGTAACGTGTTTAGTCAAACAACTATTTGTAGATTTGAAGCATTGCAGTTGAGTTTTAAGAATATGTGTAAATTGAAACCGTTACTTCAAAAATGGTTAGAAGAAGCTGATTCCACGACGGGATCACCAACAAACATTGACAAAATTGCCGCTCAAGGTCGAAAACGAAAGAAGCGAACAAGTATAGAAGTAACAGTGAAAGGTGCTCTCGAGAATCACTTCATGAAACAGCCGAAACCTTCAGCACCGGAAATATCACATTTAGCAGACCAATTACAACTTGAGAAGGAAGTGGTCCGAGTTTGGTTTTGTAACCGGAGACAAAAAGAGAAGCGAATGACTCCACCCGGGCCCCTAGGTCCGAACGGAGAAATTCTTATGCCGGAACAGGGCTCTCCGGAAAGCCCCAATGGGCCCGGAAGTCCCCTCTCCAATGGGTCTAACGGACAAATGGGGGGCAACTCTGGTATGGGGTTAAATATGCCGGTAAGTTCGCCGTCTTTACCTTCTTCTCACGGACTTTCTCAAACTGGACACATAGTAAGTCAGTTGATGAGTGGCCATCACCAACCACCACCCCATCACCATTATAATCCTCAAAATCACTCGCCAACCCATTGACTAGAGGACGTTCCGTTTTAGGAAAAAGGATAACGCCCCAAGGAATTCGGCCATCGCCACGTGCTGACCAAGTCATCGCTCTGACCAACAGGTAAAATATATATATGTATATATATATATGTATGTATACGACGAACAAATTTGCGTTGTATAGATAACATTTCTACAACCTGTATGCGTATCAGATCATCTTTATTATGATACGGATCTGGGGATCGTGAACCCGGTGTCCTGAGAGTGGACAGTCGTAAAACAGACAGGAGCTATACCTGTGTGTGCTGAAGATATGGCCTGGTCATCGCCGAATGACCATGGGGTGTTAGTATTAACGGCAGCTGACCACATCTCCGGACCCATGGACGTTTGACAGGTTGATCCCGGGCTGTCGTTTTAGAGCTGTGATTTGTATCGAATTGATGGATGTACTATCTTGAGCTGGACACAAGTGACCAGTGTCCAGTAGTGTCTATCAGATCAACAGACTGGTCACCTAGAACGGAACAATTGCTTCGGACAGGAATACAAAAGGTCAATATTCTGACCCTTTCCAAAGTCAGGTATGAAACATCGTTGATATTGTGGGATTTTAGGGGCAATTTGAAATCGTACGAACTTGTAACCCAATAATGATTCTTCATTGAATTATGGAAACCATTGGGAGAGTCAAATTGCTCGATCGTTCACACTGTGGGGGAAAGTTCTGTTGTTAGGGCGAGAAAGTTCGGTTTGACGGTGGGGAATTTTCTCTGATGTAAAAATCATAGAAAAAAGCACTGCAGCAAAAAAAGAATTGTTACAATTTTGAAAACTCATCTCAGATCTTCTGTGGATTTTTTTTAAATGTTGATTTCATATAAAGAAAGCTGTGCTAGATATTCGGCGCGGTATTCAGGAATTTTTCAATTAGGCGTGATGTGTGTGTGTGCCCGATATATATTTGTCATTCTCATGGCTGAAGCGTGCTAAATCCTCCATGTTTGAGAAAGTGTGACTCGGCCAGCCGATTAATTTTCAATTCTACCGGATCTCTGGTGTTGATATACAAGGAGAAAAAAGATTGGTTCGATGTTAGCTCAATTTCCAATACTTGTCGAAACCACGACTCTCTTATAAGTGTGATCTCTTTGTATAAATAGCTGTGCAAAGTTGACTTAGTGTCTAAGAGGGTATCCATTTCTCCCGATAATCACGAACCTCAAAGATTATTTCAGCAAACAAACAATTCTATTTTCATGGACCAGTCATTTTGAGCTACAAGGCCATCAGAATTGTGTCGTACATTTTGTTTGTTTGTTTGTTTATGTTTTATTTAAAACAAACCACAACACATGGGTTTCAAAAACCATCTCCTGATAGCTGCAATTAGCAATTGTGTTTTTATGTAACGATAATTTTATTTTTAAATCAATATTACAGAATATTAAACATTAAAGTTGACAAATTAAAATCTTTTACATTTTTTAACATTGGCAAAATTTTTCTGGTATACCATTTTGATATTAGAGTTGAAATATAGACTGTAGTGCTATATATATATCTAAAGCAATCATTCAGTCTAGTTGTTTGTAACTTATTAGCTCCATGTTCCAGATTTATCCGTTTGTAAAACGATAAACCATTGAAGCAATAATGAAAATGCAAAATTTTAAATTTGTTAAGGAAAAACTATATTTATTTGTATTTTGAATACATTTCTTTTCCATAAATTCCTTAATGAATTTAAAACGATTAGGAGTTTGAACATATGGCTTTTATCATCATTCCGAGATTAAGAATTACACATTCCACGTTTCTGAATATTAATAATACCTAATGCAAATACATTGACATTTTGTATCAATTTCCAGCATTTGTTGATTTTCTTTGGGTGTTTTTGAATGCTGTCATTAAAATCTCATATATAGTGTTCGAATTTTTGAGAAATTTGAAATATTACAGAGTGATCATATTATTATAATTACAATTTAAGTTATATAATATTATCATATTATGGTATAGCTTTTTAAAATTATTACTTTTGTTTTTTTTAACCATTGTCGAATGCACCTTTCGAAATAGGTGTAAAAATGTATGTGTTTGTGTGATGGATGAATGCAAGGGAATGTATGATGTGATTTTGTCGTTTAATCTTATTCAAATGATGTATCTTGGAATTTTAAATGATACCATCATTTTTTTTTTTTGCCAGTAAATAAATATTTTTACAAGTGCATTTCCAAGCTTAGTAATTATATTTATTAGGTGTTTGATTTTATCCCTTAAAAAACGATGAAAAATGGCAGTTATGAATTCTCAAAATATACATGTCTTGTTTTCAAAAGAAATTGATTCGAACTAACCACATCTAATAATCATCTAATTTTATTAACTTGAAAATAACGTCGATTTCATTATCAAAAACAAATGGTTGGATTGATTTCAAATTTATATGTGTATCGCTTCAAAAGCTACGAGGACATTTAGTAACAATGGCTGTTGAGAGTATATAAACATGTCTATGTGTACACACGTGTTATATAGATACACAGGCGAGACGACATCTATTTTTTGTATATATTTCATATCTGCCGTTTTATTATGCTAGCTACGTGGAATCTAGGATGCATGGCTGATAGAATGAGACTACCTCGTTTATTACGTACAAACCGTCTGCCGGAGAAAATGGTGACATGTCACATGCCGGGTATCACCACTGAACGTTGTTGTATATTACCAGTGAAACGGACATCGGTATGTTGTAGATTTCAGGGCATGTCTATTTCACTTCTGACGGCTATATTTTTCAAACTCGCACCCAACACTTTATGTGTACACTTACATGTACGTGGTAAACACACGTACATACTCCAGACCTAGATATCTTAACTTTTGTGTAGAGATACCATACCTTATAGCGTTGAATGAACTTTTTCTGTATCGTTACCTACACTCGCCATCGGGTATATATATATATATATTGGTATCAGTAGTTGACGTTCATGATCTTCACGTTGACTCCCCGGGGGTACCCGCACTACTGGTTTTCAGTCGAACAGACGTGTAGTGAACAGTAATTTTAACGAGGTAGCTAATTCTCATTTACTTTTATCATGAGACTTGCAATTCAAAAACGAAAAAAAAAATTCTTAGACTCGCAAAAACCATATTGCATATTTTTCTTCAGTAAATATGATCAATAATGATAAAAGGAAAGATTGATGATGATGATAATGATAATTGATTGATTGATTTGGATTTCATGTATCGGAAACAATTAATGTCATGTGACTTTCATGACGCCTGTTAGCACCATTAGGTCGGATATATTTCATTTCATTTAACGCATATATTCCATATTTACAAACCTCAATTAAATGTGTAAGGATACCTGTCACTTAACATAGATTATTTGCTAATCGCAAGCTGATATAAACAAACAGAAATGTGAAATATAAAACTGAAATACATGAAGATTTTATGAGATGTCTCGCGGAGTGAGTTAAAAATTCTAAATATAGTTTTAAATCCCCGACATTTTTGTACAAGGCATATCAACAGCAATCACACCTCGTATGATGATAAATGTAGCCTACTTGAATCGTCTGGTCTCACTTGATGGTATTGTGTACTAGTACGGTGTGGTTTCTTCTAGGTAAATCTAATAATATGGCTCACTGCATCCTACTAACTTTTCTTGCTCGAATGAGATTTGATGTCCCAACGTTCTCTACCGGTCTAACACCTCGCGAGGTGTGTTATATTATTTCACACCAGTAATATAATGTATAGGTGTACTTCAGTATTAGCCATTTTAACTTAAGATATATATGTGTACTTTCTCTTAGCTGTCTTTGCCAAGTTAGTAAAAAACTTAATATCGTTTTACATTCTCGATGTCTGTTTGCTATATATGTCTTGGATAAAAAACGCTGTATTATCTTCCCGTGTAAAAACACTTACTTAATAACTGTATGGATAATGTGTTTGATGGTTTGCCTTTCGTTTACTTGAATTTACTGCGTTACAGGATAAGCTGTCATCTTTTAAGTAAACGCCGGCAGTTTATTATATAAACTGCCCTGAACAAGATAAACTGGCATGTTTGCGAATGAGCTTGTCCACAATTTAATGGGTAAACTTATAATGTTGTAGTTTACACAAATTGAATTACTCGTGGGTATACTATGCAATACAGTTTCAGGTCTACATAAGCACATGATCAAGAGGGCTACCTTTCGAGGTAGTCTCTTTGAAACTACCTACCTGAAATACTTGAAAACTTTAACGTTGAATATATAGGAGAAGGGTTAAAAATCATTAGCTCGAACTCAATGTTATAAAAATTGATAAATCAGACAGACGCACAACAAATCTTCGCTTTTATGCGATTATTAAGAGTTGGTTTTCAATGCTTGCCAACCGCGGTCTTAAAACCAGAAATTTTTATAGCTGGTTTCACCTTAGCGTGTGTAAGGTTTACTGCCCATTTAAATCGTATAAAACTGAAAATAAAATACTTTTGATTTTTTAATCCTTATTTGAATCTGACTCTGCTCCTGCTGGTATCAACCACTCCTTAGCTACCGTTTCCATACGGCAGGGAATCTGAAATTTTTTCCGGTAAGATTTTCATGTGATTCAGATCGTAAACACGTTATTTAAACTTATAAGGAAGTTGATGTACACATTTCTTGGTATCGTATTTCTTAATATATCAGAACGAGCTGGGTGAAACTTACTAGTTAATATTTGTTATTTGTCACTAAAATTCATTTGAAGTCTTTAGCAAATAATTTTGCACAAACCTCGTTCCCTGGCCCTCTTCCTACTTTATGACAAGGATCAGGGAACGAAGGTTTGTGTACTTCTAATATACCAATGAAAGCCTACACATAAGTAACTTTAATAACTAAATTATAACTCACAAAAATTAAACACACCACAAATTATAAGAATTTACTAAATGAATAATGATACAGCTGATCCGTTTGAGTATGATGAACGGTCCTAGTCAATTATCTTATGAATCAGAAGCGGATTTTCGAAATTACACTCATTTGTAGAGGAG